GTTTCAAGCCACTGGGTCCGGGATTTGAACCATGTTTGGCCATGTGGGAGTCCAGCCATGTAACCATTATGCCATCAGGTGGCCCCAACTTTTTATTTTTGGTTAAAGATTTTTGCCTTAGGGTGCATGTTCTCACTGGAGAGAGGATGAGGGAAAATGAGAAATCACCCAACCACCCTCCTCTCCTGGGAATTTGGTCTTGCATGCACTTGTGTCTGGCCATATTTTCAAGCCTTCAGGTCCAGGACTTGAAGGATAGTCCATGTGAGCTCCAGTGTCTTAACCACACATCCTGCTGGCCCAAGACATTTTTAATTATCAAACAGCAGGAGCAGGTGCTCCGTGGTATCTAGGTAGAGACCAGGAAGGCTGCTAAACATCCTGTAATGTATGGGACATTCCACTGCAATAAAGAATTACCTACCCCCAGGGTAGTTGTGCTGGTTGGAAGACCATGCAGTATATCATGATTTTAAATAACTGCATTGCATTCTGTTATCTGAGCTTACCAGAATTTATTTAACTAATTCTCTACTATTTGCCATAGTGATTAGAAGTTGTTCTGTACCTTTCTTAACTGTCAGGATAAATATTCATCAGAAGAATCTCCAGGTCAAAGTGTTCTGAGGCTGTTAATACATTCTGACAAATAGCCTCTGAAAAGTAAAGTACCCAACACAGAATATTGTACCCAGCATGGCTAGTAATGTTAAGTGTCATTATTTTCCCTTTAGAATGAATGGAGGTTTGTGGTTGGCATATAAGGGAAAGAAAGAAGGAGGAGGAATGATTCCTAGCAGCAAGGAAATGAGGACAAAGGGCAGTGATTCTTCACCCCATTGCAGGAATGACATTTTCATCAGCAACATTTACACCATTTTAAGCATTCGTGTCTTATTTCCAAAATGTACTTGACATTAGAAAAAAAGATACTAATAATTAAGGCTGCCATAGCATGGTGAAGTTCTGAAGTATATCAGAGAGGAACAAATAACATGCCGTAGAAGTAAAGGGAGAAGAGAGAGTAACTCCTTTACTGTGAGAGTGGAACTAGCAGAGCTTTATGGAAGAAGGAAGCTGAGGCTTTGGGAATCAATTGGCATTTTTGTAAACAGGAAAAGAAACATGGCTAAGAGGATTACAAGAGTGAAGATGTGAAGGCCAAGATGTTTTAGTATCAGAGTAAACAGAGTCCAGGAAGAACAATGTGATATATTGTAAAAAGAAAACCATTAAATCCTGAAGAAACTTTAATGGTAATCACTTCTAATCCTACTGTTTTATAGTTGAAGGAGGAGGACAAACTAAAATCAGGTGATGGAAGACCTTGGATATAATTCGAGATGTTCCTCAGTTGGTGTGCTTCTTGAACTGAGTTCCTTGAAATGTTTGTGAGCCCTCCCCTACAGAGAACTCAATAATTAAGTTTGGGAAAGAGCATACATCACATCATCTTGAAGATTTATTCTGAGCTTAGCATATTCAAGGCTTTCAGAAATTCTCCAGAAATCTATTAAACTTTTTTTTAACCCACCATGTCCCAAACTTATTTGATAGATTAGTCCTTTTTTTTTTTCTTTTTGTGGAATAACAACTTCAATCTGGAAGAATACTAATGTTTCATCAGATTCGTTTTGAGAAATGTTTCCATAATATGAATATCTTATCTAATTTTCACTCCTAGCTGTTTGTTTTGTGAGCTGCTTTCCCTTGAACAATAGCGAGTTATCATGTATTTTCTAGTATTGTACTTAAACTAGAAAAACCATTGGGGCCCCATTTGCCCTGAAATACTAATATGTAGGCAGTGGGGAATCACTGAAGCTTTTTAGACAATGAAGTTATGCAATTGGATCAGGCCTTTAGGAGAGCTAGCATACATGCTAGAGAGATAGGGATAGATGAGGGCTAGAGCAGAATTTTAGACAAGGAGTATAAGGGCTCTATGATTGGCTGGAGGAGAGGGAATACGTTGTAAGCTCTGCGTATGATTTAGACCGAATAAATTTATAGTTCAAAACCTTCCATCTCAGATCGCCATCAGTCTACTTTAAAGTAGTTTTTTTTTTTTCTTTTCATAAGTTTATTTACTTTCAGTGACACCTTAGACCACATAGACCACATTCATCAGGAACAGGTCTGTTCATTCTCTCTCTTTTTCATGTTACTTCATATATTATGGGTTATCTAAGTTTATTTTCAAATAGCTTGTTCAAGAGGCCTGGTCCTTTCTGGCACTTTTGAAATCATAGGGCAGAGACTTTTAGGATGTTTAGTAATGTGTCCCTTATGCCACCAGCAGTGCAGTGCCGTAGCGTAGTCATGTGAGACAGTAGCCTTCACTCAGAAAAGTCTGGGAGAGAGGATTCCATAGGAAACATCTCTATCTTGGTATGCCGTAAGAAATCCTTCATTAAGGAATTCATGAGTCTTAACTTGGGATTGCTCCTCTTCCAGTCTGAGCTCTTTTCTCGTCCTGAGGAGATAAGCAAGATGTCCGCTTCTTTTCAATATCTGTAGTTTCCACACTGCTTACTTTTCCATTGAGTGCCTAAAATTACAGCCAAGGGCCCCGATGTGAGTAAATACAGAATGCACAAGAAGCTTACATCATTGATGTAAGGATCTCAGTTATTTATCACCATTTAGTAGATACCAGCAGAAAATATAAAGGGACTTCAAAATTTTGTGGAAAAATGATATTAAATTATGCATTTCTTTTGATACAGAGAAATTTTGAAATCTATATATAGTTTCTTCATAATACACATTTTCCATGAATTTTTAAAAGTCCCCTCATATGCCACTGCGTAGGTCCCCTTTTTGAAAATCAGTCCAGTAAAGAAAAATTGCGAATAGGTACTTACTACAGATTACAGGGGCTTCAGCATTAGTTTATATGTGTTACCAGTTTCATTCCAGCGATAAGTGCATTGGAAGCAGACCCATAGAAGACTCTTTTATCTTTTAACAGGGCACTTTCTATCTTTTATCTACGTATCCGTATTAAATTGAAAACGTCTTGAAACAGCGATCGTACAGGTGCTTTATCTCCTTTGATAATATAATGAAAGAAAAGTGCATGTATTAATTCATATACACTTTCATATGTCATTTCATAGATGCCAAAAGATGGCCTTATTCTACTAAATATAGTTATTATTTTTAGCTAATACAACTTTTTGGAAATAAATTCAAGATAAATAAATTCAAAATAATAAATTTATGCATTCAAGAAGTATTTTTTTGTGCACTTATGTAGAACCAGGCCCTAATACAGTATTGAACAAAAGAGATAAAGACCCTCCCCTCCTGGAGCAATATCAAATTATAATATTATGAAATATCATATATCATATTATGAAAGTGTCTTTTTTTGGAGCGGTGAAATTGTCTTAAACTATCTTAATTTTAAGTGCTAGGAAAGAAGAAAATAGGTTAGTGAAAGAAAGTATTTAGGGAGACTTTTTCTTTTATAATAGCATGGATGAAAATTGCTGCTAATACGAAATGGGAACCATGAAGGTAAGAAAGAATTTTGTAGGTGGTTTGAATAGAAAATCAAAGGATATAAAAACCGTAAACAAGCACGTAGTTTCCCCACCTTGTTTCACAAATGGACACACGATACCTAGAGGCTGGGCGCCATTGCAGAGCTGGGGCCTGTGCTCGTTTGTATCAGATGTGTGCTGCTAGTGCCAAACTCATCAGTTCTGGGGAACTTTAACCCAGCGAGGCCCAGCATGGGAGGGCAGCTCTCTTCTTGTTCCTATTCTCATAGTAGGTTTCCTCGTCTCCTCAGAGAAACTATTCACTTCAACTCTTAAGATTTAGGTTAATGGAAAATCCCTTCTGCCCACGCTTTAGAAAATATCTCAGTTACTCACTGAAATATGTACAAATTTGTTCTGATGCTATTGAAAATGGTAAGAATTAATTATATTTGCTAAAGTGGTGCAAACAGAGCAGATACACATAGAATTTGCAATTTACCATGGCTTTTTGCCAGAAATTTACTTAATAGATTAATAAGCCTATGGAAGCCTTTTCTCTTACTTTCATTTAATTCCATGGTGTGTGAGTACCTTCTCTGTGTTTGGCCACTAAGGGCACAGTGATAGCTAAAGCAGACATGGTCCCTGCTCTCATGGAGTTTATGGTCTGATGGAGAAGTTAGAAAATAAAATAGTTATCTTGCTGACTGCATGTTTACAGCCTACAGGAAGGGCCATGAAGAAAAGGGAAAGAAGAACCTCTCTATATCACACATAATGGACCTTGGAATGGGCTGTGCTTCTCTGTAGAAATGATGCTTAACTAAGAACTAGAGAGCAGGCAGTGGTAGACACATTACAGAAAGAAGAAAGAACAGGCAGTAAAGGCAGGGAGAAGTAGAGGTTAGAAGCTAGGGCTTTGTGATACCATGGATGTGGAGACTGAGACAGGGAGAGGTTCCCAGGGTAAATCCTAGGTTTCTGGTTTGTGCAAACAGGTGGGCACGATGCCATTCTTAGAGGCAGTGCCAGCTGTGGGCTGGGAGATTATAAATTGAGATGGAAGGGCTTTGAGACAGTAACATCGGAAGTCAAATAGGCTTCTCAGTAAAATCGGTTAACAGGGTCTGGTAAGAATTGGAGAGGTTCAAGCCCAAGATTAAAATGCACGTAATTGGAATTACTTTCTTCTGTGATTTATACAGCAGTTTATTAATAGCAACGTAGACTTCCCTGAGACTCTGTGGAGCTTTCTTTTTAATGAGTTCAATGAAAAATGCCAGATTACTTTCTATAGCTATAGCAAAGCTTATCCTTATAAATATGGATTCACCTATATATTTTTGTTAAATCTTTACTTATAATCTATTCCAGTGGTTTTTATAGCAAGTGTATCAGTCTTTATATTTTAAATTGTTTTTTGGGAGAAGAATGTCTCACTAAACTTAAAGCATGTTTTAACAATATGTTTAAAATAATAGACTTAACAACTGTTCTTTTTCCTAGATTCGATGTTGAATTTGTGCTCTCAGCGCCTACTTCTGAATGGAATGGCAAACAAGGACATATTTCACCAGCTCATCTTTCTGAATTTTTGAGAAGAAATTCAGAAAAATCCAAAGTCCTCATCTGCATTTGTGGACCAGTGCCATTTATAGAACAAGGAATAAGGTGAGTAGCAACACCGTGAGGCGAAGATCTTTCATAAAAAGCAGTGCTTCTTTCTCACGTCTTCCTATTCACTTGAACCTGTACTTTAATAATATGTTATGGTTCAAGAAAACAGAAAGTATTGAATCTTTATACAGGGAAGGGTTGGAGGCCAGGCTTAAGCATAGTGTTAGAAATGAACAATGAGGAGTAATCAGTGTTTTTTTGCTAGTGGCTGGCAGTATGAATACATTCACAAGATTCCTGCTCCATCTTATTTGGAACATTAGACTCAACTTTCTCTTCCACCAAAGCTTTATAATACATAGTCATTAAAAAAAATGTTCATCTCATTGCAGCTTTTGATCTTCATTCTCTTCAACTAGGTAAAAGTTAGTAAATAGAAAATACAGTGATCACAAACCAGGAAGCAAGACGGAAAGGAGAGGCTGGAACATAAATAGGGCAAGACTAATTGGTGAACCCTGGATAATGAAAAAAATCAATGGTGGTCTGCCATCTTGTTTGAAATTTATCTTAATGTCATTTAACTCAAATAGGACACTTTAAAATGTCATGCACCGCATAAGGGTGTTTTAGTCAATGATGAACCAATATGCACAGGTCATTGGTCCCATAAGGTTATAATGGGGCTGAAAATTCTTGATACCCAGTGATGATATAGCCCTAATGTCACAGTGGAACACATTACTCGTGTGTTTGTGGTGATGTTGGTGTAAACACATCTACTGCACTGCCAGTCATGTAAAAGTATAAGTGCGTACTATTATGTATAGTACATAACCCTGGATAATAAATGATTATGTTGTCGGTTTATGTATTTACTACACAGGGCTTTCTATCATTATTTTAGTGTGCACGCTCTACATAGGAAGCAGTTTCCTATAAAATAGCGGGCCATGTTTTATCAGCAGCGGCCTCATACATCTGTTTGCTGCACCTCTTGCCTACATCATTTTTCTTGTGCTTGATTTAATCTTGCATTGTTTTGTTCATTGTGGCATTTCCAGTGAGGCAAGATGTGGAGGTTGAAGACAGTGATATTGACGACCCTGACCCCATGCATGCAGGCCTAGGCTAATGTATGTGTTTGTGTGTTAGTTGTGGTTTTTTGGGGGGTTTTTTTGTTTGTTTGTTTAGGGTTTTTTTGAGCAATTTTTGCTGTAGGACATGCGCACTCACTGGAGAGACAGAGAGACAGCAAGCAAGAAATTACCCCCTGGGCGGGGATAGTCATACTGCAATCCCTGTTCCTCCATTCTCCTCTTTGGATTTTGGGCATGCACCCTCACATGTCCAGTGTGAGGTTTAAGCTACCAGGTCTGGTACTCGAACCATGGTCGACTATATCACAGTCCAGCAACATAACCATTATGCCATCTGCTAGTCCCTATGTATTAGTTTTTAATAAAAAGTTTAAGAAGCTTTTTTAAAAGAGTCAAAGAGAATGTACAGGTTTATGAAGCAGAATGTTGCAATAAGCTAATGTTATTTTATTATTGGAGGAGGAAAAGTAGAATCCCCTGAAGTTAATTTCATGTGAGCTACAAGGAATGTATTAGAACTGTCTCCATACTGTCTGTGTTTGGTGAGCATTCATGTGGTGTGGTAACAGAAAGGCTCAGAAACTTTTTTTAATAAACAGTTTATAATGACCTGGCCAATAATGGTTCTTTTATATACTGAATACCTGCTGTATTACAGAGACGAACAACTCAGTCTCTGCTTTCAAGGTTGACACCATCTAGTGGTACACACATGCACCTGTCAGTAATGAAAGTATAACTCAGAACATCAAAAATACTCTTACTAGAGATTAAAAACAAGATATTATGGAAACTCAGGGATGAACAAGTTAATTTTACGTAGGATATGCATATTATAGAGATGGGAGCGCATGGCCAGAAAAGACCCATGCTTTTAATTATGTCTAAAATGTTACAAGTCAGAAGAGATGCAGGGGATGGGGTAGTGCAGGCAGAGAGAGATTGAGCAGATGCACTAAGAGCTCAGGTGTTCAAAAGACTTAGACTGCTGTGGCTAGAGGGAAGCCACTTATCTGGGAGAGACAGGATACGTGACTGGAGAGGTGAGGTGGGTTCTGACAGTGAGAGTCTGACTGCTGCACAGCCCTCAGTCCTTCGTGTGGACATGTGTATGTGCTCTGGAAATAACCATTTGTGGTTTGAATCTCAGTGCTACCACTTAGAACTGTCTTTAATCATTTGCTACATGTCCTAGGGTCAGTAACACACCCTTTCTAAGCTTTAGTGTATTCACCTGTAAATAGAAATAAGCAATAATACTTAAAACATATAAAGTGCTTAGCACAGTGACTATGTACAATATAGTAATTACTGAATAAATGGTTTTTTATCAGCATTTTAAATAAACCACTCCTGAGATTTCAGTCTTCATTCATAGTCCAAGTTGAATTATATTTAAGCAATATGTCAACTCTTCCCATTCATATGAAATGAAGATAGAATGCTAGGGGAATCAACTCTTTACTTTGAAAACAGGTGATAAAAGTAGAAAATAGATAAACAATGAATCACACATTTCAAAAAAAAAGTGCTTTATTTATTTATTTATTATTGTAAGTTTGCTATAGGGCATGTGTGCTCACCAGAGAGAGAGAGGGAAAGTGAGAAAGCAAGCCACCAGGACTTGAACCATGGTTGGCCATGTGGGAGTCTAGTACCTTAACCATGTCACCACCTGCTGGCCCCAGTCTTGGCTTTTTTAAAATTTATTCTGCCTTTTTTCTAAGAGCCAAACTACTGGTAAACCACATAGTAAATGAGCATAATTGATTCTTTATGGAATTTTCCAGGTGACTAATGAAGAAAGAGTGATATAAATGCATTAATTTCAGTCCCTAATTAACTAATGGATCTATGCATAGTCATAATCATCAGTTGTTGGTAGCATCCAAAAAGAGAAGCCATATATTACATATTATGTGCCTCATAGGACATTACCTATGAAACAGTCTTACAAAAGAGGAAGTGAACCTATATCTGATCAAGCCACTAGATTTGATTATTAATTTATAAGTTGAGCAGTTAATGGTGGCATAGTGGAAACACAGTGCTCTGCAAGGCTGACCCAAGTAGGAAGGTACTGAGTTCATGCCCAGAGACCTGTCAGGCCCAGGAGTGTGATCTGGGGCTGGCTAAAGCTGGGGGTGGATTGTGGCCTTAAGTCCTTGTTGGGGGTGTTCTCTCTGTCTGTGTCTGTCTTGTTCATTGAAGAAATAAACTTTTTAAAAATGGGCAATAAGAGGATTTAAGAACACATCATTAAACAATACCATAGGAATGCCACAAAATGAGAACTGGGGAGACTCAACAGATGGAAATCTGATTTTTATCAACAAATAAATTGCAGAAAAGGAGATGAGTAAGAAAAATATCTAGGGATCAAAAGGTATCTTAAAGACTTATCGGCCAATTGCAATAAATAAACCTTAATTTGATATTGATTCAAAAAGAGTATTTTTTAAATTATGGCTTTATGGGATAATTGGACATTTGAACACTGACCAGATATTTGGTGATATTTAGGAATTATTGTTAATTTTTTAGAAGTGGTAATTGTGGAATATTTTTATGTACTGAATGGTGGGAATAAAAGAGTACTATGGATATGGTAAACTTTGTTCTTATTTCATTTTTAAACATTTTCCCTAAGAAACATATACTTTTTATTTGTTTTTCAGGTTGCTGCACGATCTTAACTTTTCCAAAGAGGAGATTCATAGTTTTACAGCATAATGAAGAACTGTCATTGTTCTTTATTCAACTAGTTTATCTAAATTTGTGACTGCTTAGGATTTTTTTAAGAGGACATTTTTGTATATTCTAATAGGTTAACCAGACTCTAGGCTTAAGTTTCTTTAATGAAATAAAATGTTCCTTCAGTATAGGTAAATTTTTGGCTTTATTTTGTATCATAACTTATTTTACTACTAATATTTGACCTGAAAAAGTCAATCATGACAACAAATACATACAGGATTCTTTGTTACAAATTCCTTACTATTTAAATTATATCACTGTTCTATAGTAAGCACTTGTGTTTTATGACATGATAACGTAAATGATCACTTTGATCAAGTTTCTATGATGTAAAATTTATTAGCAATACAAATTAAATTTCACATTGCACTGTTAACTCAGGAAATGATCATTTATGTTCTTGTTATTAATATTAAAACATGGAATGTTGTAATGTATTAAGTGATCCAAATATTTCTTGTTTATATAGCATTGGTGAAGAATAGAATAAAATTATTCATAAGTACTTTTTAATCCATCCTCGTAGAAGAAATATAACTGAATGTAACAATATTGGGCCAGTTTCTTAAGGAAAAATGTAAAAGGCAATGTAGGAGATCCTGGAAATGTTTCACACACACACACACACACACACACACACACACACATACACACACACACACACACACACACACACATACACACACACACACACACACACACACACTTTTGGACTAAGCATGTTAGAGGGCTTCAGACAGCTGTTCTGATTCTTAGCCAAAAGGCATCAGGACAGATAATGAAAGTATAGCATCTAGTCGCATAGTCTGAAGAATCACTTGGTGCTTTGGAATGGGTTAAAATTTAATTCTTTGTGAGGCTATCTAGGCCAGCTGGGACAGTGAGGAACCTTCTGTCCTAAATGATTCTTAGCCTGACTAGCAGCTTTCCCCATAGCTGGCAAGTTCAGCAAGGAGCCCTCCCAGGCTCTGTTATGTGGGCAGCTTATTTTCTCTCCCCGCTACTGTGAGCAACCTTCAAATACTCTCACAGGTTGGGGTTCAGCAAAGGATATTAAGAAAAGTCATCAAGAGCATTTCCACATTTCGTGAGGAAACTTGCAAACATAGGTGGCCACTGTAGCTAACTTGGATTTTTCAGCCTTAATATAGCAGCAGTATTTTCCCAGAAGCAGGAGATGGGAAGATTCACCTGTTTCCCTGTATATGTGATTTTGTAAATAGCTGAATGTTCACTGAATGAATGATACACACAAGGGGAACATATTAACATCTAAATTAAGGAGATCTACCTGTCAAGCTCCTTGTGTACAAGTGACTGGTGAACACTGTCATCTTTTCCTGTGCCTCCCTCTTCTGCAGCCAGTTCCACCCTCATTATCAGTCACCAAGACAGGAAGCTCGCTATCCTGAGCAGCAATGCTCCCTGAGGCTACCAGGAACTTCCTCTAGCTTTATGCCTCCCTACCACCTTCTCTTCCTCAAGGGGAGATTACATGGCACTGCTTTTGTATTTTGCTAGTAATGTATCAATTCCCTACTTTAGCCAACATCTTTTCTAACCTTTTTTGTCTCTCAACTTCAATCCCTGTCTAGTTCTTCAAGCAAATAGAATCTCTTTGCTATTTTCTGTATTTATCTCTTCCTCATTCGTCTTTTTATTATAGTTTAAAGCAAAAGTTTAAAGCATCTTCTGAGTAATCTCCACTCTTAGCTTTATCACCTTACATACTAATAATTTCCAAATTGGAGTTGCTAATTTGAGAATCAGCTGAGCTTTGGTTTTATTCCACAAGTCCCTCAAATGTAGCATGTGCCAATCTGAACTTTTCCCCATATCAGCTCATTCTTTGTCATCTCTCAATAAATTAAAGTACAGTAGCCGGATGACTGGTCTTCCTGTTGTAGAGCTCTCAAATCCATTCACTATTTCAGTATGTTCTAGAAGGGTTGGAGAGAAATAGAGCCTTACTCATCCATTGAATATAGCCAGATACTGTAGGCACAGATGAAAGTATAGTTGTAATTTATTCTTGAGCAAAGAACTCAGCATACAGGGGACTTCAAAGTGTTCATGAAAAAATAGAATTAAGATATGAGTTAGGGGCCAGTAGGTGGTGTAGTGATTAAGGCACTGCACTCTCACATGGCTGATCACATTTCAAGTCCCTGACCTGGAGGCTTGAAACTCACACCAGCCACATGTGTGTGCGTTCCCAAACCCTAAGAGGAAAATGGAGAATAAAATGGAGATAGATGATAGATAGGTAGACAGACCAGATTGTGGGACAATGGTAATGTAACTGGGCCCACATTGAAAAGGTTCTGGGTTTATGTCCCAGAACCTCCCTGTGCACTGTGTATGCTGGGTACATGTGTGCATGCCCATGATCCATGCCAGCTGGGACTGGAGGTGGATCATAGGTCCTTGTTGGGGGTGCTTATCTTTCTCTCTCTGTCTCTCATGGAAGAGATAGATACACTTAAGAAATAAAGTACAAGTTTATTTTAATGAAAAAAGATTTTGAAATCCACACAGGTTTTTTCATACCTAAACATTTTTCCCTAAATGTTTTAGAAACCCCTCTGTTTTGCAGTGAGGAAAAGGAATTATTCCCAAAGGTCAGTGTTGTTTTTTGTTGTTGTTTTTGTTTGTTTGTTTGTTTGTTTTTTGCTATAGGGCATGTGTGCTTGCCAGAGACACAGACACAGAAAATGAGAAATCACCTCCTGGGGGGATGGTCATTCCACAATCCCCTCTCTTCCATTCTCCTTTCAGGATTTTGGGCATGCATGCACACGTGCCTGGCATGAGTTTTAAGCAGCTGGGTCCAGGACTTGAACCATGGTTTACTACATGGGTGTCCAGTGACAATCATTACACCATCTGCTGGTTCCTGCTTCCTTTTTTTGTAAAATGTTTTATGTATTAACTTTCTCCTGCCTGGACAAATTATCACAAACTTAGTGACTTAAAACACCACCCACTCAGAAGTCTAGTTGCAATGTGGGTCAGCTGAATCCTCTGTAGAAGGGATCGCAAGGCTGAAGTCAAGTTGTCAGTGGGACTGGGCTCTTATCTAGAGGTTCTGAGGAAGATTGTTTTTCAGCCTCAACCAGGTCATTGGTAGAATTCAGTTCCTTGTGGTAGTAGGACTAGGTTCTCTATTTTCTTGCTGGCTGTCACCTGTAAGAGAGGACAATCTTGGCTTCTAGAAGCTGCCCACTTTCCTTCTTAGCCTTTTCCAGTATTGATGGATTGAATCCCTTTCATGCTTCACAGCCCTCTGAATTCTCTTTCTGCCACATCTTTCTTGTCCCAGTCAGAGAAAGCTCACTGCTTAAAAGTATTCTTATGGTGAGATTGGACCCACTCACATATCCAGGATAATCTTCCCATTTTAAGATCTATAATCTTGACTACAACTGCAATATCTTTGTTGCCATGTAACCACATATTTAAAGGTTGCAGGTGTTAGGGTTTGCCATCTTTGGACAACCTGATAAAGAAAAAAAAACGGAGAAATTTGTCCTCAGCAAGGTGATTAGGTTTTGTATAGGTATTTGTATTTCTGTCAGATTTTACCTCAATGTAATAGAACATCAGAGAGTACTCAACTTCAGTTTGCTTCCAGAGCTTTGGCAATGGTCTCGTCTATGATCCTCTTTCTCAGTGACACTAGCTTGGAACTGAGTCTATTGATACCTACACACTCCCATCTTGGGGCAGGTAAATCAGATTCTATGGGCTGCGGTATTTAGAAGTGTGGCTCGTAGGTTACAATGGAAAAGTGAAACCAAGCTCCCCCCCAGTCTCTTGGTATTTTTAATTTTTTCTTTCCTTGTTTCTTGAAAACGAATCAAGTCATTATGATCTCCCTGCCTACCTCAGCTTCACACAGCTGGAATTACAGTTATGCCTCATTCCTCCTGGTTCTGTTTTAGACAAATTCTCACTATGTTGCCTGGGCCAATCTTGAGCTCATGATCTTCCTGCCTCAGCCTCCCTGCCTCAGCCTCTCTGGGTCTAGGATTCTAAGCATACGCCACTACCCCCAGCCTTTAGGTTGTATAGTAATCAGATCTGGGCCTCCCTTGTGGTCTCAGCCTGCAGAGCACATCTCAGCAGCACATACCTCTGGGGCTGGGGCCAATGCTGTTTTTATTGTGAATTTCTTCTCACTCAGGGTTGCCTTACTGAGGCAGATCTTAAAGTGGAATGCCAGAGTGATCTATCTAAAATTCAAGATGCCTCTACCTCCAGTTAAAATTTACTTCTACACGCAGCTCCCACTCATGGAATAGAGGCTATCATTTTGGCATAGCATTATTCATAAAGCCAGAGGTGAAAATAGTCTGAATGTCCAGCAGTGGAGGTATGTGTAAACAGAATGTGGTATATCCATACAGCGGAATCTTACAAGAGGAATGAAGTGCTGAGACATGCTGCAACATGGAGAGACCTTGAAAACATGCTGAGTGAAAGAAGCCAGTTATGGAATGCCATCTGTGTGATTCCATTCATATATCTAGAGTCAGAGACTCTATAGAGACAAAATAATAATGGTTGTTTGTGAGGTACAGGAGTAGGGGAAATAGCTAAAGGATATTGGGAAGTTCTTGAAGTGATCAAAGTGTTCTGATGTGGTTATGGTTGCATACCACTGTGAATATACTAAAAACCATTGAATTGTACACTTGAGTGAGCCAATTTTATAGTATATGAATTATATTTCAATAAAGATAAAAATGTTTTTAGAAGCCAGCAGATGGTGTGGTTGTTAAGGCCACTGGATCCCACATGGCTGACTCTATAGTTCAACTCCCTTACCCAGTGGCTTAAAAACACAGTGGGCATGTATGCATGGGTGCCCAAAATCCTGAGAGGAGAATGTAGGAGAAGGTATTGGTGTGGTCATCCCTACTGGAACAGTTTTTCACTTTCCCTTTCTGTCTGTCTCTGGAGTGTGCATGTGTCCTATAGAAAAAAAGTGTAAATAAATAATAAATAAATTTCAGATATTAAATGTAACTAGAGAGCTGGCCCTATACCCTACTGGCTGAGGGAGCCATCAGTAGATCCCATATGACCAACTGTGGTTCAAATCCAGGCTCCAGTGAATTGAAA